ATATATACTAATCCTATATGGATATGTATATCCTAATTGGATTAGTACCAACATCGTATATTCTTTCAATAAATAATATCTGCAATGTCGATGAACAAGTATATTGTAGGAAGTAACGCAGTCCATATACGAGAGGAAACGCCTTGATAAAAATGTTAAATGCGTGATTGGACTGCGTTTGAGTCCTGCTTAATGTAGAGTGAAGTAAATCCTCCCTACAAGTAAAAACGTTGCAACATATTTTTCTGTTGTAAATCTTCTTATTGCCTTTATCGTCCGGTTCACAGTCCTCCCCGGTCTTTTGAACAGGAATAGACTTTTATCCCTTGTTTCCTGTTTAGGATTGGGTTTCCGGTTCCTTCTAAAGTCTACTTCAACACTATACATCTAATGTCTCCGATTATTATTATTATTATTTATTTACTTATTTTTCTTTCCGTAATGGAAACAGATAGGTTCGTCTATCTTCCGGTTCACACTCCTTTCCATTCTTATGAACAGGTGTAAATTTTTATCTTCTGTTTCCTGTTTAGGATTGGGTTTCTGGTTCCTTCTAAAATCTTTTTCATTCCTTTTTCATACCCAGTATCTCTTTGCGTCTTAGTGACATTATCGCCTTGTTTGGAGTGAATTGATGAAAATAAAACAGTACTCAAGTTTTATGTAAATTTAATTAAAAAAAAATTGACGTACATTTAAATGATCAAATCATCTTTATAACTTAAAAAAATACTATTCCTTTTTTATATAAATCATATGTTAACTTTTTTCATGGGTGTTAAATAATAAATAATTGATATGTTTTAAATAAATCAGTCTGGGTTGATTTACTAGAAGAATCAAATTTGACTGAATCAACGATGATAGTGGGTGCTCAATAGTTACCTCCCTTTCTTCGTAGTTGCCTCCCTTATTTTAAAAATATTTTCAATCTCTTGCATTCAGAGATTCAGTACAGTTGTGTTGGTTAGAATTGCCAATTATGTTTCTGAAGCAACAATTTCACATATTTTGTAATGTAATCATGTAACAACAGTTTTAGTATGAATTTGTAAGTGTAATGTCTTTATTTGAATAATAACAAATTTTTAACTGATATTTCTTCCACTTTAATTTGAATTGCTTTTTATCGATAATCTCAGATCATCATTTTACGAGCTTTTTTTTTTTTAAATCATTTTACGCCCAAGCAAGACAATAAAGCCACTAAGGCGTAAAGGGTCACTAAGTGTAAGAGAATCCGAAGAAAAGAACACAGAGAACATTAAAAGAACAAGAATTAAGAAAACAGGAAATAACGATTGACAATGCATTGAAATATTTGAACCTCAAAGGTGAATGGAAGCCAGAAGTATTTTCCACCAGCGAGATGTGCGATAGAAGAAACTGTTAGCATAAAACTTACGGTTAAATCTATTCATTTCAACTGTAAAATTATGAGACCTTGCCGCTAATCTAGTACTGCGCTTAAATTTGCAAAGTCCGGGTACCAAAGAGGAAAGTTCATGACAACAATTACCATGTAAATATTTATAGAAAGGGCAGTTAGAACAATATAATTTGAAATGTTTTTTTGAAGAAAACAATATAAAAGTATAAGACAAATATTGATTTATATTTTCTATTAATTTTTGTCGGTGTTTTGATTTTACTTCTGTTGATTTTAAGATCCCAAATTGATTAACAGCGTGGATTTAGGAAAAATGTCCCTGGTGAGGTTTGAACTCGTATTTATTATATTCAACGTTGGGTTGAGTTCTGCTTCTAGCATTGCATTTGACGGCTGCGCATCTTAGCCTCTAAAGGTAAACCTTACACAAATAAATATTTTACCGTATTTGGCAGCCTATATGACCCAATTATTTTCTTTTAATTTAAAAAAAAAAAGAAATTGTCGCGCAGTTATGGTTTAAATCTATCCCCAAGTCTCATTGCCGTAATCTATACTTTTACCACAAACAGTGACCTTTATCTTCTCTGATTCCATAAAAATAATACGAAATTATTATTATTATTATAATTAAAAAAAAAGTATACCAGGCACATGCATCACAGCCAAATGTACGCTCAGTTTTTGATTAAAAGGTGTTCCCAAGTCTCTCGATGTAACTCCCAAGTCACCTTGTCTGCCACATCCTCTCAACTAAAAAAAAAAAATTCAACTACTCCTGCTAACGAGCTAACAAGTAAACACTAAGAATCAAATCTCTGTTACTGAACGAGATATTTACATTCGGTCACCTTAAGTTCCCAAGACAAAACATGTAGCTGTTAACAGTAATTAGGATCTGAAGCCTTGGGAGCTATGTCTGGTGGGATATCAATGTATTATTATTATTATTATTAATTCCTTTGATTTCTGTTGCATGCACATTTTCTTCTGGGTCCCAATCAGAGACCTAGGGTCAGACATGGTTTTATGACATTTTCCACTGGTCATTTTTTTATAAATAAACAAAGCATGAGACCACGGACATTTTACATGGATAAAGCTCTTCGTAATGTTTGAGTTATATTTGTGAGTGCAATTTTTTTTTGTATTTCTTTAAGGTATTGACTAATAGAAATCACTTCACTGAGTCTATGGGAACTTTCTCCTAACATTTCGAGGGCTCCAACTACAACCGGAATTATTGATGTCCACATGTGCCACGTTTTTGAGATTTTCATGTGATAGTTTTTTTTTTAAGATCTTCAAAGATACATAACAGTCTGCAGGAACTGCTACGCCAATAAGAAAACCCATTCTATTCTTGTGATCTTTGATCACGAAATCTGGGTGATTAGATTTGATTGTTCTGTCTCTGTGTATTGTGAGGTCCCATTAAATTGTTACAGGTCATCTATCTCTGTAACCGGGTCTGAGTGATGTTCATACCAGTTTCTTGCAGTTGCCTTCTCATAAAAGATGTATATTTTCCACTGCAGATAATGGCCAATTCTATCATGCCGAGTGGGTGCTAATACCGTGCAACCTGAAACGAGATGATCAGTTGTACCTGGATATTTATCACAGAATCTGTATTTCGGGTTAACATAATTTTTCATTTTCTGTGCTTGGTAATATTTAGTTAGCAAGCATTGGTACTGTGCAGCAAAAATAAAACCTTCGGTTTCAGTTTTTAACCCTGCACTACTACCTGATGGGTACGTTATTATTATTATTATTATTATTATTATTATTATTATTATACAGTGAGGTTCACCCTGTAAAAGACCCAGGAGCCACTCAAGGTTGATAGTTACAGAGTAAGAGTCACAGTTTACGCGGATATGTGGGGAAGATAACGGTTAACGCTAGACTTGAACAGGTTAAGATTGTAGTGATCGAGGAAGCATCCACTTGGGAGTCGGTCCCACAAAGCAAGTGGCTCGTAGATAGAAGCTGCTTTCTCATCAATGGTATACGAAGGAAATGACGGTGGTTTGCTACAATGTAATTATTATTATTATTGTTTGAAATGTTTTATTTCTGCAAATATGCAGGATATTTTCATTGTTGTGATGTCTGCTAGCTTGTTTTTATATACAGTAATATTTTCTACTATAGCTAAAGTTCTTTGTTAAAGCTATTTAATGTACTCATAGCTTACTTTAAACATTACACTAAAATGTCTTACCTGAATATGCTCTGCTGCTGTGACGGTGCTTTTAATACGCCCGTGTGTCTTTTACGCTGTCAAATACGGTTAGCCATCTTTCTCACTTTACAGTCACTGCTATGCCGCCATGTTGTTTGTTGGTTATTTTGACAAGAAGCATTAGGTGTAATTGTGTACAGATTTGTTAGATGAATGATTCTCATTATCATTCATTTTAAAATTTCATTTCAGATCATCAGTAGATTTCACTTTCTTTGAATATATATGTTACGTTATCGGCAGTTCAAAATTATGTTGGGATGGTAAGCTATCTGAGTTCGACTAAATGATTTCCTTGTTGATTTTGACTACTTTATTTCATCCCATTGTTATTTCGTATCAGCTTTTTGGCACTGTGCAGTCAATACACTTACTTTGCTGAATAGATTAAGGTGGCGTTTATCTAAGGCAAGTCCCCTGGAGATGTGGTGTCATACTTCATGCTTCTATTAAAGAGTAAGTCAACCAGGAATGTTATGATAAGAAACAACAGCAAGATAAAATAAAGTTTAGTCAAAAATGAATAAAAATCATAATTAGTTGAAGATTGGAATTAGATTTACAAAGCAAATATGAACGTTCCGGGAAATCTTTGAAGATTGTTTGCCAAAATGTCAAATATTTCCTTTTATTTACAGTATCCCTCAGGACTTGTGCAACTATAGCTCTCCTCAATTTTCTATCCTTTGTAGCTTGAAATAATGCCTTTTCCTTACTATTACTCCCAGGCGTTGACCTGTCATCCATTTTCACAAGCTTGTTAGGTAAGATATTTGCCGTTTCCCTATGTCACTCTTGTCTTTAATATTTCCCGTGAAATTCTGCAAGATCTTTTTCGTCGTTATGTAAAACAGAGGACAGTAGTCCGGATAATGCGTAGAATACTATTCAGCTGTTTTAATTTCAATTTATTGGATTAGCAATGTATATAAAATATTTTTAAATGTGTCCGAAAGCACGTTTTACTCGAAGAGTAATGGTTAACGAGCTAGTTTCGTTCATGATTTGTTTTAAATATATCCTTATTGGGTGCCGCTCTATATTACGGCCTTATGCCAGACTAAGCAAAAGTTAGTAAATGTTTACAAGACAAAATTTATGTTTGTGTGAAAGTCTCTCGTTATGAAGACCAAAGCAATAATGGCGTCGTCTTCAAGTGATTGCGGATTGGGTGTTGGAAAGAAAAATCGCGGTTGAAAAAAAAGGTGATAAGGACGCTAAAGAAAACAAAACAAATCAAGTTAAATAAAGAAAAAAAGAAAGGACCGAGACATGGAGGAGAAATAAAATGTTTGAACTTTAACCAAAATGTCCGCCTACAAAACGATCTTTGATTTCAATATGTTTGTGATTTATCAGAGTCACTTGGAGTTTCCTTCTTATTTGTACCTGCTTCTCTTAATTCTTTCAGTCCACCTCTCTCTTCTGTTCGCAACTGTTTAGCTATCTCAATATATCCTTCCTTTCAATCTATTTACCTTTCTCAGTCTATCTATCTATCTATCTATCTATCTATCTATCTATCTATCTATCTGTTGAAACTTGACTAATGCATGGAATAATAATACAACACAAAATGTACTTAGAACAAAATGTATTGAAACAAGAAAGTGTACACAATATTTACATATAGTCTTTTGTATATTCCTGGTAAGACCGTTCCTGGAGAATGTGTTGACTGAGTCGCAGTCGGGCAGAGTCTCTGGTTGAATCTCTTGATTCCTCCCTCTCTTTCCGGTACCAACCATATTTATATGGTCGGTACTCCACTATGCAAATTAGGTGGATCCTACCACAACACTATCTATCACAGCTTATCTATCTATCTATCTATCTATCTATCTATCTATCTATCTATCTATCTATCTATCTATCTATCTCCATTCTTCATATATAGCAATCTATCTCATTCTTTCCCATCTATCTATCTATCTATCTATCTATCTATCTATCTATCTAATTCTGATCATATCTTTCGTATGCTGTTAATATAGATTTAGCTAGCAATCCAGACAGGTAGTATTTGAAAGTACAAGTGCTCCTATTTCATTCTAACTGCATCACAATATCAACGTTGAATAGAACAGGTTTCCAGCTATGAAACTATAAACTTCCTCATAGTCGCCATCAGACTCTACTTTTTCAACAGTGGTGATGTAAATCCTGCATGTTGCGCTCGTAATCATTTTCACCAGCAGAGGTGATCGACATTTTCAAACGTACCGGTCTTGCTACTAATAAAATGCATTATCCACCTCACAGCCAGGCTGTGTTCACGTTCACCTTTTTATCCGCAAAATTTAAGTAAGCGTGAATGGATATCAATGAATGGATATCAATGAATTCAGTTTATTTTGTATGGGTTAATTGAACCTCAGCTTCCTACAAACTTTCCAGTCAGACCCCATTTTTTCAGAATACCTCTTGTAAAAAGTAAAATAACTCCCTTTTAAAGCGAAGAAAGTGGTGCGTTTTACGATGAAGTGACTCCTTCCTAGTTAGTTTGTCAATGAGTGAGCAAAAATTAAACAAAAAATAAAAAACAAAAACATACGTACACACTCAAACAAGACTCACTTGCAAGCTCGGTATCTACACCAAGATTATTCCAAGTAAACATTTACGCAATAGTATTAGGTTGGTGCAAAAATAATGACGCAATAATGTCGTTTTTTGACGTTAAAAAATACATCAAAAAACGACATTATTACACCAACCCAATATATGCTTATGATCTTCCATACACGCAATATCAGAATCTAGTGGTGGTGACGGGATACCAGCCGTAGCCTTAAAGAAATGTGCTCCCGAGCTGGCTCCAGTTATCTTCTATATAACTATTGACTTACTGCCTCTTACTTTCTAGCTTGTTGGAAGTTCTAATCTGTTTTCCCTGTTTTTAAGAACTCTGGAGGCCCTTCTGATCTATCTAACTACCGTTCTATCAGTCTCCTACCACTCTTCGGCAAAGTCTTCGAGGTTTTAATCAATGCCGAAGTGGTTAATCACCTTAGCTCCCATGATCTGACAAACAATATGGTTTCCGCTTTGCCAATTCTAGCGCTGACGTACTTATAGCTATAACTGCATTTGTATAACAGCCTCTATTTAATAACGGCGAAGCTCGAGCTGTGGCTCTAGATATCTCTGAGTCCTTTGATATAGTTCGGCATACCGGCCTTCAGGGATACGCTATTATCGGACGATTATTTGATTTAATCCAATCATCCCTGTCAAACCGTGAAATGAAGGTCGTCCTAAACAGATTCTCCTCCAGTTCCTTTCATGCGAACGCTGGTGTTCCCCAAGGCTCTATCCTGGGTCCTACACTGTTTCTGATCTTCATCAACGACCTTCCTGACATCATCAGTTCTCAAGCAGGCATCTACGCAGACGACACTACCATCTCTTCCTGTCTCAATAGTATTAGGTTGGTGCAAAAATAATGACGTGATGATGTCGTTTTTGGACGTTAAAAAATACGTCCAAAAACGACAGGATTACGTCATTATTTTTGCACCAACCTAATAAATCCGGCATTGCTGACAAAGTTAACCTGGCCGCTGGTCTCGAAAAGGACCTCCAATCTTTGGGCGAATGGGGAAGGAAATGGCATGTAAACTTTAATGTTTCCAAAACGAAACTGCCCTCTCTTAACCACCATAGAGAAACGTCCCTGCCTCCTATCAGCATGGTTGATGGTCAACTTCACAAGAGCGTCTCACTGCGCCTTCTTGGTCTCACGTTTTTCTCTGACCTGAGGTGGAACAACGACATTGAATCAATTGCTTTCCTCTACCGCAAGAAGAGTTGGTTCTCTGTGTTTAAAGCCTGAAATTTTTTTTTACATTGAAAAAATATGTTTTTGGTGGTAATAAAGGTTTATTCATACAAGTCATTAACCCATAGCTGGGGGAGAAGAGGCGGATCCATGCATTTCCCATGCATACTTAAGCGTAAGTGGATATGACGAATCCAATTGGAATCCGGCAATTCCTAGCTGTTATCCGTTATACCATCCGCACATGCAAGCTTACATCTCTTGATATTCCAAAGCGGTCACCCATTGAGGTACTGACCATACTTAGCATTCCTTAACTTCGGTGATTGTACGGGTGTTTCAACTTGATATGACCTGACTTCTTAATAGCATGGTTTGGGGAAATGATCCCAACGTGTGGCATCACAGGAGAGTACCTGAAAACCATACGTTAGGCTGACCCAAGACGAAACAGTCTGGAAGTCCCCGATAATAGTGGTCGCATGAAATCAAAAGTCATTGTGACCGAGTTTGTGAGTACTGGCTTTGTTCGACTATGGATCACGACAAATTATGCGGTTTGCTTCACAAGAGACTGTAATTAAGGTGTTATTTTATATTAAAGCTCACCCCATACAAAGCCCAATAGCCAATCGCACATCAAAGCTTACAGCATTGGTATTCCCAAGCGGTCACCCATCTAGATACTGACCAGGCTCGATGTTGCTTAACTTCAGTGAGCGTACAGGAAGCGATGTTTCAACGTGATATCGCCGTAAGCTATACCACCAGTTCATCCAAGCTTACAGCTCCTGGTATTCCTAAGCTGTCACCCATCTAGATACTGACCAGCCTCGACGTTGCTTAACTTCAGTGGGCGTACGGGGAGCGATGTTTCAACGTGATATCGCCGTAAGCTATACCACCAGTTCATCCAAGCTTACAGTTCCTGGTGTTCCTAAGCGGTCACCCATCTAGGTACTGACCAGCCTCGACGTTGTTTAACTTCAGTGATAGCACGAGAAGCAATGTTTCAACGTGATATCGCCGTAAACTATACTACCAATTCATCCAAGCTTACAGCTCCTGGAATTCCTCATAAGAGTCACCCATCTAGGTACTGACCAGCCTCGACGTTGCTTAACTTCGGTGGGCGTACGGGGAGCGATGTTTCAACGTGATATCGCCGTAAGCTATACCACCAGTTCATTCAAGCTTACAGCTCCTGGAATTTCTAAGAGTCACCCATCTAGGTACTGACCAGCCTCGACATTGCTTAACTTCGGTGATCGTACGGGAAGCGATGTTTCAACGTGACATAGCCGTAAGCCAGAAATTTAATAACAGTCCTCCCTCACCGGTTCACATACATACGCCCAATTGTGCATTCCAAGTAAAAGTTCTTGATTTCACAATGAACAGATATTCTTTCCAAGTGTGTGCACTCTACAGACATACTGACTTGCTTCAAATCTGACACCCACGTACCGAATGACTGCCAAATTTCGAATTGTTTCCAAGAACGTTCGTCTTGTTAATCATTAGTCTTTGTAAGGCTTCTGATTATCAATTCCGAATGAGTCTTATTTCGATTCCAGTACAATCCAAAAAGCGGACCAAATAATTAAATGAACGCAGGGGTTTTCTGCCAAATTCTTTTATAGCCTGTAAACTAACAAAAAGACGAACTGTTCAGCGAAATGGATCAGAACTTAGCGATTTTTTTTTATAAACAAATCTAAACATTTTAGACGAGGCACAACACTTTGCTTTTTATTATTTTACAAGCATAACCATCTTCTTCTATACCCCGTGTCCCTTCAGGACGTAAGGGAATATAGTTCTGTACAACATTTTAATCTTCGTAAAGTTTTTTTTCTCTTACTATCACTCCTAGGCTATGTAACGTCATGCGTTAGCACAATCTCCTCGCCGTTTTCTTTTCTCGTCTTGGCCTCAGTATGTTCTGTGAGTATCAAATTCTCTAAGCTCTCTTTACCCGTTATGGGTCCCAGGAACTTCAACTGTCATTTTCTGATCCTAAGCATATGTATATTTTTCGTTCCCATTATCTTCAGAACTTTCAGATCATGTTCCGTCCATGGCATTCTCAGCATCATTTCGTGGAACTGGATCTGACCTCAAGTCGCCTTACCCTCAATGAATAAATAGTACAAAATTCACTGTTACCCAAAGGATTAATACTACATAGCGGTTCAGACCTTACGATCTTTTCCTCTCGTACCTTTTTGTTGAAACTTGACTAATGCATGGAATAATAATGCAACACAAAATGTACTTAGAACAAAATGTATTGAAACAAGAAAATGTACACAATATTTACATATAGTCTTTTGTATATTTCTGGGAAGACCGTTCCTGGAGAATGTGTTGACTTAGTCGCAGTCGGGCAGAGCCTCTGGATTGAATCTCTTGATTCCTCCCCTCGTCTTCCCGGTACCAACCATATTTATATGGTCGGTACTCTACTATGAAAATTAGGTGGATCCTACCACAACACTTTTAAAGATTTTGGAAGATATATTTTGTTCACTGACAGAATGAGACATCTGATAACAAGTTTGGTCCACGTGATTGCTGGTGGCTTTGTAATAGTTCCTTAAATAGGAGTAAATCATCTAACCCTCTTCTGTTTACTCAATTTCAAGTGTTAACATCTGCTGATAAAGCAGAATGCTTTGCTCGTAAATTAATTTCCAATTCTATTTTTGACTTAACTAGATTATCTTTACTTGACTTTCCACTTAGAACTGTGTCTATATTGTGTGATATGCATATAACTCTTGTAAGCTAGGAAGGGTTACTGAATGAGGAATAACCAAAAAGGGGGTTGGAAATGAAATAGTAATCTTTATAACATCAACAGAATACAATACTCGCCAGTGCCGTGAAGTAGGTGAACCACTGCTAGTGGTGAACTACTTAGCATATTACGATATTTACCTGCCTCCCCACGAGGTAGGATGCAACACAAGGCCAAATTTAATGTGGGGAAATCCGAGCCCCTGGACTCGAACAAAAATTGCCTGTAGATCCCGCGTACGTGGGATCGGGTATCTGTCTACCTCCCCGGACGAGACTCTGCCCTTTGGCATAGCCTCGTCCAGGTTCCTCTCTACCCGAAGGCAGAGAGTTTGACACGGCATGAGCTTCCCACGCTGACAGCTAGACATTGGAGAAATTGCGAGAAAACACCAGGCACAGATTTCACATTAAATAAACAGCACAAATAGTTGAATAGAAATACAGAAATAAATTAAGTTCATATTTGTGTGTGTATTTTTTAAACTATGGTTTTATTTCATAACATTTAAATGTATACCCTTTAATAATTTTGCTAAGTGCGTCGTGATATTTTCATTTGCTCCTAGGTGTATCGTTACTTAAAAAAGGTTGAGAAACACTATTCTAAAGTGACATGGTACAAAGTAGACGATTCTTCATATCTATTTAAAGAATTTTAAAATCCTTGCATTTGCATTGGTTTGCTTGTCAACTTTATTTGATAGATACAGCGGCCATTTTTATACATCAGACGAGAAACATCGAAAACGGGAAGAAATTCAGAAAATTTGAGTAAAAATAAAACGAAAGAAAGAAAAAAAATTCAGTAAATATTAATTTCTTCAAAACGTTTCTTCATCTCTGTTCTCCCCATGAGTTCTTATCCCAAGAGACAAATACTCTCAGGAGTTTGTCATCTGGAGAGGGTTGTGGCTGAGTATCAAGTTTTGGGGCACTGAGTTCCTACGCCGAAGAGGTGACACAAATCATGACCCTGATGTCATTTAATGTTGTCGTCTTTAACAAATAACAACAATAATGCGTGGAACGTTAACTCGATGTACATAGGAAATCATTCTTGGACGCCCAGAAAAGCCGATAAGATGAAAAGGTTCGAGGCAATACAATATCTAAGGAAAAGTAATTTCAATCAGTGATATGGCGTCCTTGTTTAGACATATTTATCTCTGGCGTGGCCAATGTTAAGAAACTTCGAGAAAATAGAAGACACCCACCAACATATTATTTGCTTATTTTAGGGGTGGCTGAGTGGATCAGAGAAAAATACGTAGTGATATCAAAGAAGAACGACATCCAAGCGGTTATCGATGATTAGCATGCCATTTCGATATAAATTAAGTAATTGTTTTTTTTTACGGATTATCACCCCTTTTCAGGCTATGTAGAACGTCCTTGTGATTTTTTGCTAGATTATTTTAAACCTTCCCGATATCAATATAAGGGTTTAAACTGATTGCAATTTTTAAAGACGATTGTCTGGTTTGAAAACACATCATTCGGTCGTATAGCTGACCTTATTTTGTCAGCAAATACCAGCAAGCCCTTACACTATTCTGTCGTATCGTTAAAGTGGAAGAAATTTAATATGTTTGGTTGATTGATTCGTTTTTTACGGTTTATCAACTATTTGCAGGTTATTTAAAGCAAGGAAACATTTTTAGAGTGTAAGACATTTTTGGAGATAATAATGATCTACTGATACAAGTATTACTAATTAACCTATAGCTCTGGGGAGGAGAAGAGGTGGCTTCATAACTTTCGCAAGGGGGACTGAATATAAAGAACCCAAATAGATTTGGAACTCTCTCCTGCGAGTTCCAATTCCGAGCCGTTATCTATTACACCACCCGCACATCCAAGCTTACAACACCTGGTACACCATAGCAGTCAACCTTCTCGGTAATGGCCAGGCTCGATGTTACTTACCTTCGGTAATCGTACAAGATCCGGTTTTTCAACGTAATATGATGGTAAGCCTTACTAGTTTAAGTAAATTAAAGAAAAGACATTTCAATCAGTGATATGATGTCCCTTTTAAGACATATTTGTTGTTCGTTTCTGACATGGCCAAAGTTAAGAAACTCCGACAAAATTGAAGCCATATTCAAATATATACTCCGTTGTATCGGTGCGTGTCGGATTGGATCAGAGGAAAATATAATTTAATATCAAAGAACAACAAAAGAGATTAATCAATGGTTAGCAAATCATTTCAATACAAATCAAGTAATTACTAACAAAACGGACTGTGATTGTTGTATTGGTAAAAACACTCACAATATATCCAGTTTGACTACATGTAGTTAAACTTGGTATCTTGCCATTCGAGGTCATGAAAGAGGATACAATTTCTTTTCAAACGAAATAAGATATTGAGTTTGCTATGAAATGCAAATGACCTTACAACTAGTAAAGCTAAAATGGTCAAAGCCAGCCGCTGAGTACACCAGAAGTCATTATAACTTCAACTATTTTATGACTTTTATGAGCTGCATGGCAGTCATACAATTGCATTTTGGGAGGTAAATTGGTAAGTTGAGGTACTGTAGATAGAAAATGATGATTGGACTGGTGGTGGGAAGTTCCATGATTTTTGATTTTGTTTATAATACATTGTGCGACACTAAAAAAAAATTCCAGCAGAAAATTCTAGAATGAGCAGAAATAAACTTAAATTTTTCAACTGTTTTAAATACAAACAGAGACCCATACTACATATACTACCAGTGATTCTTTAAACAAGGCATTTCTTCTATAAAGAAGGATGCAAATCGATTGTAAAGGATTTCTGGGTGTGTAGAGGATTTAGTTGGTAAAAAAATCCTACGAAAAAAAAAAAAATAGTTCCAACGAATATTTGACGTAACATTAATTTGTCGGTACACAACAAATGACACCAGCCGAATTTAAAAACAAATTTGCTCTTCACACACACACACACACACACACACACACACACACACACACACACACACACATACACAAATAATTACACAAAATAAAAAAAGAATTACACAAATTTAGTGTTTTACGTGCCTAATGATCAATAACATGTGAATTATGAATGAAAATGAAACATGGCATTTTACAAAACTACATAAAGTGAAGAAAAAGAGAAATACTTCACTGAATTGTTTTCAAAGAAAAATTTGGTTTACTTTTTGTATAAAAATAAACTTTGTGATTTCTTTTTCTTGTGGTAACAGCGAATATTAGATAAAGCACACAAACTGAATACTTTTTTCGTGGTGGGAGCGCCCGGGTCGTTCTTTATTTGTGTGGTAGTTTTTCTTGGTGATGTTTATTGGAAACATACGACATAAAACGAACTGACTAAAGGATATAAAATAAATAATTTATTATTATTTATTTTCTTTAGAGTGAGTCCAAGATTTACTTGACCCCCTCCGCCCCGCTTCCACCGAGCCAGGTTGTGACACAAGGTCGGTTTTTAACGTGAGGACACGAGTGTTTCCACTCGGGCCGCTGGTCTAAGCTTGTC